ATCTGGCCAACGCCACCTTGCTGACGCCACCTGGCCAACTTGGCCTGGTAAACGTTAGCTGGCCGACACCACCTGAGCAATCCACAGATTTCGTAAACTTGAATATTACCAATATCTTATGTTCCTTCAGACATAATGTATAAGTGATGTAAATGCCTTAAGAAAACCGACAAGTGTAACATTTGGGACTCTTAGAGGAAACGCTTCGCAAGCCAATGGCTTCTACAGTCCAGTCCAGATAACTATGACGGTCGTAGGCTGGTAGAGTAACCATCCAGGTCACAACTACCGTATGGATGTGAAATGGATCCCGGTTAAATGTTTTGTACTCTAGCTAGAGTACTGGTTTTCCTATAACTTCATCAACACGTGAGATGACGAGTAAGCTTACAAACTTCTGCTTGCAGTCAGTATAGAATGACTTTTATTTTTCTCTTCTTTTTTGAATAAGTTAAAGACAATTTACCCGAAATGCATTGTATACTAGTGGCTTTCTTTTGTGCCTACCAATGTTTTATTACATTATTTTGTAACTCGTATTTTCTTTTTTTTTGTATTTGTTATATTTTCAATTTCTATTCTGTCTTTGCCAGTAGTATCTCCCTCAAAAGACCAGTACTAATTTAACATCACAACACTGGGTTACTTGGTCACTTGTAAGGTCTATAACTAGTAATAAACCGCGAGGAAAAATAAATGTGCTATTGTACCATGGGAGGCCAGGCTGGTCCAGGAATTTGGCACCTCAGCGTTTGCTCGTAAGTGGACTGTAACCTCTGTGATGTGTAAAGGGAGACGTATTTGGCCTATCAACCTGTCTCTGCATATTAAAGCTTGATGGGTTTTTTACTAAAGTGGTCCGGCTTACTACAGTAGTATATCCCCTGGCAGATGTTCGTACTGCAGCACCGCGGAAGCACGCACCTTGGTAGCACAATGTTTAACACATTGGTAAAACCATGTCTGACTTTTTTTGGGGGGTTATCCTAGGTAATTTACATGTATGATAATTGTGCCTATGTATACCTGTGCCTAAATAAACTTACATGGTAGCACTATGATAGCACGAGTAGCACCCTGATAGCACTGTGGTATCCCATGGTAGCACCTTGGTAGGGTAGCTGGGTGAAGTATGCCGTGGTTATCATGATGGATGTATGGCTGATGCTAATACATTCTTACTTCCTAAAGGTTTGAAGCCTCAGAACTTTCTTCAACCGGAGTGTAACAGATTATTATTATTATAATAATCAAGGGGAAGCGCTAAACCCGGAGGATTATACAGCGCCTGGGGGGGGGATGTGGAAGGCATTCAGGCTTAATTCGGGGAACTGGAGCACAGATCCAATTTCCTAAATCAAGAGCCCCTCACCAACATCAAGGAACCTTCCTTGAGGGGCGGAGTGTAACAGAACAAATTGCCAGGTTGAGGTGCGGTTTTTAATAGTCATGGAACGATTATTATTATAATCATGGGGAGCGCTAAACTAGTAGGATTATACTACAGCGCATGTGGGGGGGATGGAAGGTATTCAGGCTCAATTCAGGGAAACGGAGCACAGATCCAATTCCCTAGATCAAGAGCCCCTCACCAGCCTCAAGGAACCTCCTTTGAGGGGAGTCATGTTAGTTTAATATGTTTATTATGCACCCCATACCCATCCTGTGGGTCATGGAACGAGAAAATTTATCTCGACGTGAATCTTAAACTTATGACCTACTTAGTGAACCTCCTGGTTATGTGACTGAGGCTCTCCGTTGGCTTACCGTTCCTCCCTATATAAAAAATTGACCTTCATCTCATAAGAGGTTATGGGGGTTCCATACACCAGTTGAGTGAGCAATGGGAATAATCTACGTCCATCGTCAACAGAGTAACTCTAATGTCTAATAAATGTTAAAACTTCAAAAGCAATACTAATAATCTCCGCTGCCATCCGTGCCGCAAAACATCACAGACATTTCCCAACAGAACGAGGATGCTGGGTGCTCAAGCCCCTAATGCTCAAAGCTTTTTTTTTTTACCCTACCTCCCTCCAAATGCTCCTGGGGCAACCACCTACCCCTCCTACTTTTCACCCCTGATTTGCACACCCTCTTAGTTATCGTACCCCTCTCCATCTCTACGTGCCCAAACCACCTCAGCATCCCTTTCGCAGCCCTCTGAATATATACCCTTGCTAGCCTCACATCGCCTTTTAATTGCTACTCTCCAAATTCTCTGAATGATATTGCATCACTCATTGCTCTGAAGCATGGCATTAATATATATATATTATATATATATATATATATAATATATATATATATATATATATATATATGGAGAGGGGTACGATAACTAAGAGGGTGTGCAAATCAGGGGTGAAAAGTAGGAGGGGTAGGGGGTTGCCCCAGGAGCATTTGGAGGGAGGTAGGGAGACGGCCGACTTGTTGAAAAATATATAATATATATATATATATATATATATATAATATATATATATATATATACGTACTTTTTTCAACACACTGCCTGTCTCCCACCGAGGCAGGGTGACCCAAAAAGCAAGAAAGACCCAAAAAGAAAGAAAAAAACTTTCATCATCATTCAACACTTTCACCATCATTTATACATAAAAACTGTCTATGCAGAGGCGCTCAGATGCATCAGTTTAGATGTCACTCCAAACCGCCAATATCCGAAACCCCTCTTTTAAAGTGTAGGCATTGTACTTCCCACCTCCAGGACTCAAGTCCGGCTAACTGGTTTCCCTGAATCCCTTCACAAAATATTACCCTGCTCACACTCCAACAGCTCATCAGGTCCCAAAAACCATTTGTCTCCATTCACTCCTAACACACTTGCTGGAAGTCCAAGCCCCTCGCCCACAAAACCTCTTTTACCCCCTCCAACCTTTCCTACGACGACCCTTAACCCCTCCACTACAGATTTGTATACTCTCCAAGTCATCCTATTTTGCTCCATCCTCTAAATGAACAAACTGCCTCAACATCCCCTCTTCAGCCCTCTGAATGCTTTTAGTTTGTTCACAACTAATTTCCACACTACGAATTCTCTGCATAATATTTACACCATACATTGCCCTTAGACACATCTCCACTGCCACTGCAGCATTTACAACCCATGCTTCACACCCATATAGTGTTGGTACCACTATACTCTCGTACATTCCCTTCTTTGCCTCACTGGATGACGTTTTTTGTCTCCAAAGATACCTCAATGCACCACTCGCCTTTTTTTCTTCGTCAGTTCTATGGTTAACCTCGTCCTTCATAAACCCATCCACTGACAAGTCTACTCCCAAATATCTGATTATTATTATTATAATCAAAGGGGAAGCGCTAAACCCGGAGGATTATACAGCGCCTGGGGGGGGGGGGATGTGGAAAGCATTCAGGCTTAATTCGGGGAACTGGAGCACAGATCCAATTCCCTAAATCAAAAGCCCCTCACCAACATCAAGGAACCTTCCTTGAGGGGCCAAATATCTGAACACATTCACTTCTTCCATACTCCCTCCCTCCAATGTGATATCCAATTTTTCTTTACCTTACTCTTATCTATGTTCACTTTCAATTTTCTCCTTTACACACCTTCCTTAACTCATCCACTAACTTTTGCAACTTCTCTTTAGAATCTCCCAAAAGCACTGTACCATCAGCAAAAAGTAACTGTCAACTCCCATTTTGTATTTGATTTCCCATAAATTAATCCCACCCCTCTCCCCAACACCCAAGCATTTACTTCTTTTACAACTCCATCTATAAATATGGTAAACGACCATGGTGACATTACACATCCCTGTCGAAGGCCTACTTTTACTGGAAAGTAATCTCTCTCTCTCTCTCTCTCTCCTACACACCCTAACCTGAGTCTCTATCCTCACAAAAACTCTTTACAGCTTTTAATACACTTGCAACATCTGCCACATTGCTCTCCTATCCACCCTGCCATATGCATTTTCTAACTCCATAACTGCAATTAAAACTTCCCTACCTTTATCTAAATATTGTTCACTTATATGCTTCATTTGGTCTACACATCCTCTACCCATTCTAAAGCCTCCTTCTTCATCTACGATCTTGATCTCTGTCTTACCTCTAATTCTTTCAATAATAACTCTACCACACACTTTACCTGGTATACTCAGTAAATCTATTCCCTTATAATTTTACAATCTCTTTTGTCTCCCTTTCCTTTACTCCATTTGCACACCTGCTTGTTAATGCAGATATCTTATAAGCCAATCATATGGCAGCAAATCAATGCCTAAAAGCATGCAGACTTTGTCAAGAGGTTTAATTGTTGTTCAGGCTAAACATCAAAATGAGGAAGAAATATAATTTAAGTGACTTTGACCGTGAAACGATTGTTGATGCCAGACGGGGTGGTTTGAGTATCTCAGAAATTGTTTATCTTCTGGAATGTCACACACACACAAGTCTCTGGAGTTTACAGTGTAAAAAGATAAAAAAGATGAAAATTTTATTTCTTTGTAAAGGTTACAATGTGTAATTACAATTTTGGTTTGCTAAGTACAAAGAAAGCCAATATCTTGCCGAGGCATTTCGGGCAGACTAATCCTAGTGTATCCAGTATATGGCAGTTCTGTGGGCAAAAATGCCTTTTTCTTGAAAAAAAAGTCAAGAGGAAAATGGCCAGACTGGTTCATGCTGACAGGAAGGTGACACTAACTCGAATAACCACAAGTTACAAACGTGGTATACAGAAGAGCATCTCTGAATGCACATGTCAAATCTTTAAGTGGATGGGAACAGCAACAGCCCACACTGGGTTCCTCTCCTGTCAGCTTAGAACAGAAAACTGAGGCTATAGCGGGTACCAGCTCACCAAAATTGAACAGTTGAAGATTGGAAAAACATTGCCTGGTCTGACAAATTGCAATTTCTGTGACGAATTTGTAAGGGTATGTGAAAGAAGGAAATTAAAATGAACATAAGAAAGAGCAAAGTGATGAGGGAAACAAACAATTGAGGCAATTGTTCTTCTTTATTCTTTTTATCTTTTTAGGTCACCCTGCCTTGGTAGAATATGGTTGGTTTAAAAAAACAATATACATTTACTAATTACCTCTATTATTCACAAAACATATACTGTACATAAATGTTAATTTACACATATTATACTCTAATATTTTGAGTCATGAAAAATAATGACCTGGATAAAAGATATTCAGAAGTAGGAAAGCAACTGGGCCAGAAAAAAAACAATGAATAATTGAATCTATTCAGTGACTGCCAATAAGTAGTATTATTATTACATTCATGAAGAAGAGGAGGGGCAATAAATCCACAGGGGGTCATACAGTGTCTAGGGTAATGGGAGGCAATCAGGTTTGATCCAAGGAAAGGGAGGTCAGAATTCAATTCTTTGGATCAACAGCCCCTCACCAGCATCAAGGAACCTCCCTTGAGGGGTGCCCATTCGTAAAAATGTTGGACAATCAAAAGCCAAAAATTTGTAGGGACAACTGTCTCATATTGTATGTAAATATGAGACAAACAATCTGAGGCAGTACTGAATTTGTCATTTAGAAAATGTTTCTAGTTTATAATGAGAGCAATTGCTTAAATTAAAATACAAGCCCAAAAACTACAAATTGAAGTTTCCATATTAAAAATGACTGTTGCTACACACTCCTAATTCAACACAATAAAATACTGTGTATGTTGTTACTGTTTGGAGGGTCATCTGAACTGTGATGTCAGCAGTCTTCTGGTAAGACAATGAGTGAATGAATGATGGTGAAAGTGTTTCTTCTTTTTTGGGCCACCCTGCTTCAGTGGGAGATGGCCTGAGTTAAAAAAAAGTATATATTATACAGATGTGTAAACTTTCATCAGTGTTTTTTTCTATCCTTTTTTGAATCTCCTTTGGAATTGTTTCTCCCTTTTTTGTTTCCTGCAGCTTGCTTCTCCTTTGGTCTGTTGCTCACCAGTGGATGGACCTCTAAGGAAAGACAATGAAAATTTTAGTACAAGATATTACTGCATCTTGATAATGGTACATGTTACATGCATCAAAGGAAAACAAAAATCTTCTGTTCCTTCGATATTACAGTACAGTACATAATATTAAATTCCCTTTCTAAAGTACTTAACTGTTTGCCACAACTAATAGCATGACAAAAAAGTTGCAATGTAACAACTCAAATAGCTGCCCAGTGTGACTAATATCTGGCTTCACAAGAGGGTACCTCAAGACATGAACATTAAAATGGTATAAAATACCGACAGGTTGCTAGGTAAGACACATATGCAACAGTTAGGTATCTTTATTTTGAAACGTTTCGCCTACACAGTAGGCTTCTCACCTCCTGGCGGTATATAGGCTCCATCCTGTCACTTCAACTCCATATTGTTTCATACTATGGAACAATACTCTTCTCCAGACTGAGTGACCGACCACCTCAAAACTTCAAGGGTGATGGACTGATTACGTCGTCTTCAAGTATCTTCTGCTTCTATCAACTTTTCTGTACTCGACTGAAGAAGCCTACTGTGTAGGCGAAACGTTTCGAAATAAAGATACCTAACTGTTGCATATGTGTCTTACCTAGCAACCTCAAGACATATAATGTGTAACACATTTATATTCTTCTGAGGAAAACCAAACAGTCACATATTATAGGATTCCACCATAATGAACTAAAAATCCTAATATATTAGCACTCAGAATGATTAATATTTGACAACAGTCTAAAAATCTTTTTGAGTCTTCTTAATCATATCCAGTGCATAAAAAAAATTAAGCACTATTTTGATTATTTTGCATGAAATTTTCATTTGCTAAAGTAGTTTATAGGTTAATCAAACATTAATTATAAATTATGAAGATTGAAAATACTATTCATACAGTATCTATATAGTGATATATTTTTTCTCAGTTATTATTTTCCACAAGATAAATATCTGAAAATAAATAAAATTGGGATTAGGGCACATGAATTGCAATAGCTTCATGTAAAAATGGCAGTGGTTACAAAAAAAAGTTTTTTGTTTTTTTTTTCAACGAACTGCTGCATCCCACTGAGGCAGGGTGACCTTAAAAGAAAAACGAAAGTTTCTCTTTTTAAATTTAGTAATATATACAGGAGAAGGGGTTACTAGCCCCTTGCTCCCAGCATTTAAGTCACCTCTTATGACACACATGGCTTACTGAGAAAGAATTCTGCTCTACTTCCCCATGGAGACAAAAAATCTTTTTTTTTTTTTTTTAACAAACCAGCCATATCCCACCTAGGCAGGGTGACATCTATTCTGAATAATTAAAAAAAATCTAATTTTTGAACATTCACCCCAATAAGAGTTTCTATATATTAGACAGGTATTAAAGATTACAAAGCAGCACCAATATTCAATGGAAGCTTTTAATAAATCAGTTTGCAACTTAAAAAAATGTACCTCTAATGGAATGCAACTCTAAGTTCCTCCCTAAGCATTTTTCAAGGATGACTAGTTCATAATACTTTCTCTGAAAGCGAACTAAATTTTCCAAGAGTTCATTAGTCTTAAGGGTGAGGCTAAGTAAAAAAGCTGACATTTGGGACTGGAGGCAGTCTCCTTAATTTATGGCTGATTGATCTGATCATGACTAATGGCTGATAATGGTACTTCCAACTACCTACATACTTGGCTTTCACAAAGTACCTACCATCTGTTGGTGCATTTTCTAACGAAACATCAAATGTTTTGGGTCTCTTCTTTTTGGGTGAAACATTTTCTTTACTGTCACCCGATCTCTTGGATGACAGATCCTCATTTGGTGCACCCTCAGGACCCCAGCCTTCTTCAGGTTCTTCAATTTCAGGAGAGATGGGAAGGTACAAAAGAGCATGGCTATCATCATCTTCGTCTGAGCTGCAGAAGGCAGTTACTGGTTCTGTACTTGTAACATCAACCTGAAACAAAATAAAACTATTAATCTAATGATATAGTAAAAGCTCAATCAATGGAAAAAATAGTTTAAACTATATAAAATTACTATAATTTTAAAGTCTTACTATTCTCTCATGTTAAAAGCTAAATTTACAAGGTAATGAAAATAAGGCTAATCAAAATTTCCCTTTCATTCAAAATAAGCACAGAATCTCAGGAATAAATGATAAACATAGAATAAATTTGTTAATGGAGGAAAGTGGAAATGCACCTTACTAGTGCCAACACTTTCATACGTGTGTGTGAGACATGGTCTTTAAACATTTCAGTTAATTAATTAAGAGGCTGGAGGTAGTGTAAATGTATGTTTGAAATCAAATTTGTGTGAATATTATGCGGTGAATAAGGAGAACTAACATTTTAAAAAAGCTCCACTAAAAACTTTTTAGACTCCATAATGTTGCTTCATTTAACAACTTTATTGATGCCTTTAAACACACAAAATTGAAATAGACTCAAATGTCAGCTATAATATATATTCTGGAGTAGGAATTTTTAATGTTACAAAACATTACTATCACATACACACCCACAAATAACTACAAAGAGACTAAACAGCCCATGGCTTGCAAAAGTCTTCCATGATCAATTGATAAAAAACATAAGAACATAAAGAAGGAACACTGCAACAGGCCTACTGGCCTATGCGAGGCAGCTCCAATTCTCGTACCTGCTTAAGCCAATGCCTTGACCTAATGAGGTCAGACACATCACTTAAGGGAGGAGCAGTGCATCCGACCTAGTAGCACAAGCTAATAAGGTCCAACTCACACCCACCCACACCCACTCATGTATTTTCCAACCTATTTTTAAAACTACACAACGTCTTAGCGTCTATGACGGTACTTGGGAGTTTGTTCCACTCATCCACAACTCTATTACCAAACCAGTGCTTTCCTATATCCTTCCTGAATCTGAATTTTTCCAGTTTAAAGCTATTGCTGCGAGTTCTGTCTATGTTAGATATTTTTAGCACACTATTTACATCCCCTTTATTAATTCCTGTTTTCCATTTATACACCTCAATCATATCCCCCCTAATTCTATGCCTTTCTAGAGAGTGCAGGTTCAGGGCCCTCATCTATTCTCATAGGGAAGATTTCTGATACATGGGATCAACTTTGTCATCCTCCTTTGTACGTTTTCCAGTGCATTTATATTCATTCTGTAATACGGTGACCAAAACTGCACAGCATAATCTAAATGAGGCCTAACCAAAGATATATGGAGTGGAAGAACAACCTGAGGACTCTTATTATTTATACTTCTTGCTATGAAGCCAAGGATTCTCTTAGCTTTATTGCAAACACTAATGCACTGTTGTCTTGGTTTTAGATTACTACTAACCAGAACTCCTAAATCCTTATCACAATCTGTAATATTAAGATCTACATTATTTAGTTTGTATGTGGCATGATTATTTTCCTGTCCAACATTTAGAACTTTGCATTTGTCTATATTAAACTGCATCTGCCACTTCTCCGACCACTGCATCAGTCTATTCAAATCATCCTGGAGTGCTCTAATGTCTTCATTAGAATGAATTGTATGGCCTATTTTGGTGTCATCAGCAAATTTGCTTATGTCGATATTTATTCCCTCATCTATGTTGCTTACGTAGATTGTGAACAACAAGAGGCCCAACACTGACCCCTGTGGAACACTGCTTGTGACGTGCCCCCATTCTGATTTCTCCCCATTTATGCAAACTCTATGCTGCCTATTCGTCAACCACGCCTCAATCCAGGAAAAAATTTCTCCTCCTATTCCGTGTGCCTTAAGTTTCCTCAATAGCCTCTGGTGTGGAACTCTATCGAAAGCCTTACTAAAGTCCATATACACAATATCATATTCATTACCATGATCTACCTCCTCAAACACCTTAGTGAAAAAAGTTAGTAATTTCGTAAGACAGGAACGCCCCTTTGAAAAACCGTGCTGAGATTCATTAATCAATTTATGCCTTTCGAGATGGCTACGAATTGCTTCGGCAATTATTGATTCCATAAATTTTCCCAGTATGGAGGCAAGGCTTATTGGTCTAAAGGTCGAAACTAAGGACCTGTCACCTGCCTTGTAAATAGGTATTACATTTACCATTTTCCACTTGTCAGGCACTATGCCAGTTTGTAGTGATATATTGAAAAGATTAGCCAAAGGTATGCTAAGTTCCTCTTTACATTCCTTTAACACCCTTGCAAACAGTTCATCAGGGCCTGGGGATTTGTTAGCTTTTAATTTCTCTATTTGTCTGAGGACCACGTCACTAGTTACCACAATCATGCATAGTTTATTATCGTCCTGTTCTACATAATCTATTATTTCTGGAATTCCGCTAGTATCTTTCCCGAGTAAAAACCGAGAGGAAGTAAGAATTGAAAATTTCACACATTTCCTTATCACTGTCAGTAATCTGACCTGAGTTACTCTTAAGTGGACCTATCTTGTCCCTAATCTTACTTCTGTATACCTGAAAGAACCCTTTTGGGTTTGTCTTCGAATCCCTTGCAGCCTTAGCCTCATAATCCCTTTATGCTTTTCTTATTCCTTATTTTATTTCTCTCTTTAATTGAACATATTGATTTCTTAACTGTCCCTCCCCTCTTTTGATACACCTATATATGCCTCTCTTTTGACCAATGAATGTTTTAATCCATTGTTCATCCATTTGGGATCATTTTTGTTAGATCTAATTTCCCTACTTGGAACAAAAGTTGTCTGGGCAGCTAGAACTATGCTCTGAAAAATGTCATATTGGCAACCAAGATCACCTACCTGACCCATAGTCAGGACATCTCAATTTAGCCCACCCAGGTAATTTTTCAATCCCATGAAATCAGCCAAGCGAAAGTTTGGGACAGAGATTTGATTGCAGTTATTCGGGTAACTCCATGATATACTGAAACTAAGTGATCTGTCATCACTTTCCCCAAGCTCATCATTAACCTCAAGATTATTAACTTGTGATTCTTTGTTGGCAAAAACCAAGTCAAGTAGATTGTTTCTTCTAGTTGGTTCTGTCATAAACTGTTTTAAAAAGCAATCCTGAACCATATCAAGAAAGTCACTAAACTCAAGATTTCCTGTCACATTGTTCCAATCAATTTGTCTAAAGTTAAAATCTCCCATTAACACAACATTTTCATATCTAGATGCCTTATGAATTTCATCCCATAGCAGCTTACTGCAGTCTCTATCAAGGTTTGGAGGCCTATAAATCACACCCAAAATTAACTTTTCACAACCCTTGAGAAACTGTAGCCAAACAGATTCTGTGTCCGATGTTTCTAATCTTATATCTTGTCTAATGCAACAATTTAAATTATCTCTGGCATACATCGCCACTCCACCACCCTTCCTGTTGACCTCATCAGTATGGAATAGTTTTAATAATGAGCTGAAGTATAATCTGGAGTACATCTCCAAGGAAAGAGCATAGAAGAACTGTGTAACACTCACAAGAATCAAAGTATCCAAGAAATACTGATATTCTTAAAGATTAAATGACTCCAAAAGAAGATATAATTAAAAAAAAAACCACTCCTAAATTTCAATGGTCAAAAAAATTCTTTCAGAGTAAAGGAGCCTTCCCTCTCAGCTACTGATATGCTGTATAAAATTATCAATTTATTCTCCACAGCAGGAACTCATCTTGTAAATAACATCATTTGATGAACACATCTTTCTCTTTGGGTCAGCCTGCCTTGGTGGGAAATGGCCAATGTGTTGAAAAAAAAAAAAAAAATCTTTCCAGACTGTCTAATCCACTAATATTATAAAAATATTTGAGAAAGTGATTCACAAACAGCTGTACTCACACTTTACAAAACATAATGTTATTCCTTTTCAATTTATATCTACTAACAAAAAAAAAAAATAGCATTTGAAAGAAATGAATATCCTTTTGGACTTTTTATTAATCTGTTGATATGGTTCAGATGCTTTAGTAATTTAGTAAGGATGAAACATATTTGGTAGACTTAGTGTATAAATCTAGCATGGAAGGAAGGAAGGGTTGGCGTTGTCCCAAGAAGAGTTGGAGGGAATGGGTGGAGGAGGTTTTTGAGTAGTGGGGACTTGAGCATTCAAGCAGGTATGTGTAAGCATGTTAGATGAGAGTGGGTAAAAATGAGTGAATCTTGAAATTTGATATGTTGCTAGAATGTGAGAAATTTAGCATTTATGAGGGGATTCAGGAAAATTAGGAAGATGATTAAATTATGATATCAAGGTGTGTCCTAGGTAGTAGATTGGTAGACAGCAACCACCCAGGGAGGTACTACTGTCCTGCCAAGTGAGTGTAAAACGAAAGCCTGTAATTGTTTTACATGATGATAGGATTGCTGGTGTCTTTTGTCTGTCTCATAAATATACAAGATTACAGGTACGTCTTGCTACGTCTACTCACACTTAGGTCACACTACACATATATGTACAAGCATATATATACACACCCTCTGGGTTTTCTGCTATTTTCTTTCTAGTTCTTGTTCTTGTTTATTTCCCTTATCTCCATGGGGAAGTGGAACAGAATTCTTCCTTCGTAAGCCATGCGTGTTGTAAGAGGCGACTAAAATGTCGGGAGCAAGGGGCTAGTAACTCCTTCTCCTGTATATATTACTAAGTGTAAAAGGAGAAATTTTCGTTTCTCCTTTTGGGCCACCCCACCTAGGTGGGATACAGCCGGTGTGTTGAAAGAAAGATCAAGGTGTGTAAAGGTAGAAAGTTGAAAGTGAACATTAATAAGAGTAAGGTGATGAGGGTATCAAACGATTTAGATAAAGAAAAATTGGATATCACAATGGAGAGAGGGAGTATGGAAGAAGTGAATGTTTTCAGATACAGTGGACCCTCACCTAATGATATTAATTGGTACCCGAGAACGAATATCATTAGGCGAGTTTTTTAGCGTTAGCCGAGGCAAAATGTTAGCGTTAAAATGTATCGTTAGGCGAATTTAACATTATGCGATGCGTTCGTTAGGCGAGGGTCCACTGTATTTGGGAGTTGACTTGTCAGTGGATGGGTTTATGAAGGATGAGGTTAACCACAGAATTAATGAAGGAAAAAAGGTGAGCGGTGCATTGACGTATCTGTGGAGACAAAAAATGTTATGCATGGAGGCTAAGCAGGGAATGTACGAAAGTATAGCGGTACCATTACTCTTATATGGGTGTGAAGCTTAGATTGTAAATGCTGCAGCGAGGAGGTGGCTGGAGGCAGTGGAGATGTCCTATCTAAGGGCAATGTGTGGTGTAAATATTATGCAGAGAATTCGGAGTGTTTAAATTAGGAGGTGTGGAGTTACTAAAAGTATTATAGTCAGAGGGCTGAAGAGGAGTTGTTGAGGTAGTTTGGTCATTTAGAGAGAATGGATCAAAGTAGAATGACTTGGAGAGCGTATAAATCTGTAGGGAAGTAAGGCGGGGTACGGGTCGTCCTCAAAAAGGTTGGAGGAAGGGGGCAAAGGAGGATTTCTGGGCTAGGGATTTGGACTTCCAGCAAGCATGCGTGAGTGTGTTAGATAGGAATGAATGGAGACTAATGGTTTTTGGGACCTGACAAACTGTTGGAGTGTGAGCAGGGTAATATTTTGTGAAGAGATTCAGGGAAACCAGTTAGCCGGACTTAAGACCTGGAAGTGGGAAGTACAATGCCTGGAATTTAAGGGAGGGGTTTTGGATATTGGCAGCTTGGAGGGACTCCTAAACTGTCATATCGGAGCGCCTCTGCAAAGAGTGATTATGTATGAGTGAGGTGAAAGTGGTGAATGATGATGAAAGCATTTTCTTTCTTTTTGGGTCACCCTGCCTCGGTGGGAGATGGCTGGCGTGTTAAAAAAAATAAAAAAATCAAGGCACTTCTGGAAAGAGCCAGAGAATAAGTGATGGTGAATGTGTTTCCTTCTCTGGAATCATCTTACCTTTGTGAGATTTATTTTTTAAACATCAGCCTTTTCCCACCGAGGTAGGGTGACCCAAAAAGAAAGAAAACCATAAAGAGAAAGAAAAAACTTTTATCATCATTCAACACTTTCACCATCGCTCATACATAATCACTGTCTTCGCAGAGGCGCTCAGATATGACAGCTTAAACATCCCTCCAGACTGCCAATATCCTAAACCCCTCCTTTAAAGTACAGGCATTGTACTTCCCATTTCCAGGACTCAAGTACGGCTAGCCTGTTTCCCTGAATCCCTTCACAAAATATTACCCTACTCACACTCCAACAGCTGGGAATTGTCTATGTTAAAAAAAGTAGCAAATAGCAGTTACTCATTCCTGCACATAATCCATTATAATAATTTTATCTAATTTATTTATAATGCAATATTATTTTTTGATTGCAACCTGTTAAATATAATTAAAATACAGTACAATGATCAGCCTAAGATGCTAAATAAGCTCTAGACATAAAATTAACTAAAGTATATTTTTTTAACACATCAGCCATCTCCCACCGAGACAGGGTGACCCAAAAAAGTAAGGAACACTTTCACCATCATATATATTTAACTAATAACCTCAGTTTTCAGATACTGAATCACTACTACTCAAAGAAGTGATCGTTCATACTCACTTCCACATCTTCCTCTCTTCTTTCTTGGCTAAGTTCAACACTCTTGTCTTCATCACTTTGATCAAACTCTGATTCTCGTTCTTCATACTCCACATTTTCATCAAGCTCTTTAAAATCTGGAGCAAATGCTGACCAATTTTCGACCTGATTCTGTGACCACACTGATACAACTCCAGAGCTGATAGATGCCATGATAGGACGTACAGGATGCCACTGAAGAACAATATTTATATGTAAAATCATATTAAATTAAAGTATTTTGAGCTAAAATAATCTCATACTAGATACTGTACTTGATAATCACTAAATATAGATAAAGATATATTTCATACAATAAAGAAATATAAAATCAAACTGATGCAAAAGGTCTACCTCCAGTCTCATATGGTCTCTTGTTAGAGACTCTAGGCCTAAGAATAGGTTATGTAAACAAATGGAATAACTCATGCGCTAAATGAAAAAAAAAAAAAATCTTTCTGAGGTTTTTAACCTATATGCAAAAATGAAGTAGACCTAATGTCATTTACATGACAATCAGTTTGTGTATTATTTTAATCTTTCTCTACCTAATTAAAATATAAAATATTGATTTTTTAAATGAGGTAATGTGTCAGTTCAGTCTAATTTTTAATTATCTTACTTATTAATTATCTCCACTGACTTGAAAGGAATAATTTCAGTATAGTAGTTATTGTACAGATTAGCAGTCTAGTGGTCCTGTGTTTAAATCACCAATGAGGAAGAAACGTTAATTTTTATATATATTGCTCCTACCGCTATGTACTCTTTGATGTCTCATATAAAACCTAGCTGGTTCACAAATATTCACTTCAGTGGTGACAATAGTGCTCGTCATGGCATTATACCAGGTTAGCACCCCTGCATAACACCGTGATGAAAATCAAAGGCCTACCATACAGGGGGGTCTTTTTTCATTAGTGCATTATGCTGGGTAGCAGCTATTAGCATGACGTCATGGCCTGCCACCACACTCCATAGTGACTCCTCAGTGCTCACACGGCTGCCATGGTGAGAGGAAGTGTTGCACTTTTTTCTCTCATCTATCCCATCTTTGTTCCCTTTGGTTTTGGGGCTATACATGTTTGATTATGGGTAAAAGGAAATCTTTAACACCTGAAACTATAGCTCAAATCATAGGGCTTCACAAAGCTGGGCACCAGACAAAAGAAATAGTGGAGAATGTTGGTGTGTGTGAGCGTTCAGTGAGAAACTGGGTGCAGCGTTTCAAGGCTGGTGGTGGTGTCGAGATATCATGTGCCAAACCTCGGCCTGGCCCCTCGAAGAAGACATCTGTTTATACCTTAACTGTGTTAAAGAAGCAATTACAGAGTACACCTAAGATAACTGCTAGAGAACTGAAAGAAAAGAACCCACATCTGCTCTCAGAGGTGTCTGTAAGAACTGTTACCAGACGTGTGTCAGAACTGGGCTACAGTAGTCACTGCCAGGTTAAGAAACTGATCCTCTCCAAGCCACAGAAGAAACACAGGCTGGATTATGCAAAGAAATATCTTCACTGGAATCCTCAACAGTAGTCTGTAAGTACTTTGGAGTGATGAAGCAACCTTCACAGTCACCTGTAACTGTGGTGAACATGTGTACCGACCCAGAGATAGTGACTTGCTAGACCCACGCTACACCTGTGGGACCACCAAACACCCAGATTCGCTCATGGTTTGGGGGGTGTTTCAGTGCTCAGTGTTGGTAAACTCATTGTGCTTCCCAAAAACCAGTATACGAACCAGTATAATTACCTGGAGTTATTGTGTGACAATTTACCTGAGGCGTTTGACAAGTGTGGGGCTACGGTTTTTATGTAGGACGGTGCACCGTGTCATACCGCCAAATCTGTAGTTCAGTGGCTTAAGGACTGTGAAGTGAAGTTCTTTAATGCTGGCCAGGCAATTTCCTAGACCTAAACCTTATTGGGAACCTCTGGTTAATAGTGAAATGAAGTTTACTGAGCAAGGATATCAGTTCCATCCTATGGCTGGAGGCTGCTCTACACGAGGCATCAAATAATATACCTCCCCAAACCCTCAAGAATTTGAGAGAGTCTTCCTACACAGCTGAGGGACGTGATTAAGTGTAAAGGACACAGCACCATGTATTTAAACCTAAGTAAGTGTGCAAATACATATATTATGATCTTTCATGGCATGTGTTTGTGTTTTGGTATGTGTGGGGGAGGGGTGGCATAATGCTGTGACGAGCACTGTACATCTTCATATAACTTTGTGGTAGTTAAAATTTAAATCCTAGATTAAAACTTATAAAGGCTTACTACAACATCCAGCAGCATTTCTCCTTTGGTGCCATGAAGAATCTTAACCAAGTTACCAACACTTCGTTCCCAGATGTACAAAGAGTGTTGTCGTGCTGAGCCAGCACATATGTATTCCCCATCTCCAGAGAAACAACACTTTTTCCACATGGTTCTAGGAAAGAATGAACACCACATTTGTTAACATCTTAGCCACAATACAGCATTCCAGCAACATTCATCACCTCCAAGTCTCCTTCTGTCATGAAGTACAGAGATTCTTATTTGAAAATAATACAAACAATAATGGTATGTCACCTATATTTAAATTTTACATGAATATGAATAATATAATGTTTATTTATAATCCACAACTGGCCAATGTAACCACTGAATTTGATGCTTGCAAATTTTTCAAGACAGGGCCAAAGTCTGTCCACAAGACTTTGAATAATTTTGTAATTTTTTAGTGGATTTAATTTAATTTTAATGGATTTAATTTAAGTTTGGGTTGCTATTTTTTACTGAAAAGCACATTTTGAGTGTAGGGGCCTGAGCATCCAACACGCTTGTACATGTATAAGTGTGTTGGACCAGAGTGGAGACGAGTGGTTTTTGTGGTTTAACCTACTGCTGGAGTGTAAGCAAAGTAACATTTACATATGTAGGGAATTGGGATAAACAAGTTAGCTGGACTTGAGTCATGGAGGTTTGAAGTACAGTGCTTGCACTCTAAAGGAGGGATGAAAATGTTTCAGTTCAGAGGGCCACCTGACCTGTAGTGTCAGCATACTTTTAACAAGACTTACTGATGGGGAATATGTTTCCTTCTTTTGGGTCACCCTACCTCAGTGAGAGACAGCTGGTGTGTTAAAAAAATATGTTGTACACTTACTTAAGCACTGAGTTTGTTATAGTGAAATTCAGTGTAATAAGGACTAAGACAACTAGCGATCAATTTGTAGGTTAACATAGAATCAGCAGCAGATATTCTGATAATGCTCTTTTACGAGAGAAAGGGTCAACTGCACCAACTCAGCAAAAGAGGCTTACAGTGTTGCATTACACATACAGCAAAACCTCGGTTTACGTAATTATTCAGTTCTAAAAAGTCTGACGAAAACTGAATAGTACGAAAACTGAAGCAATATTTCCCATAAGAAATAATGTAAATCCAATTAATCCACTCAGACACCCAAAAATATTAACAAAAAATACATTTTATAGAGAATAACTATAGTTTTACATACAGAAAACAATGAGAAATGAAAATAAATGACTAATGAAATGGATAAATGAACATTTGACATCACTTTTACCTTACTGAAGATTCTTAGAATTAGCATATGGAAGATGGTGAGGAGGGGAGAGGGAGGAGGAGAGGTTATTGTTTGAAAGGGGAATCCCCTTCCATAAGGACTTCAGGTATCAAGACTCTATCCGAGGTTACTTCCCCTCTTTGTCTCTTACTGTCACTAGGACCAGCTTGAGAGTCACTGTACCCCTGTCACACAAAAAATCTGTCCAGAGAGGTCTGTTTCTGGCAGTCTCTTTACAATTTGCCTAAAATGGGACAAGGCACTGTCATTGAACATGTTGCAGACACAGCTTGCAACAGCTTTGTTAGGGTGATATTTCTCCACAAAACTTTGCAACTAACTCCACTTTGCACACATGTCCTTAATCACTGAAGAAGACACATTCTCCCCTCTCTCTTCCTCCTCCTCTGAAGGATGAACATGCGGGGTGATGCTCACTCAACAAGAAACAAAGGCAGACAGAGTCATGAACGCATAGGATGCTTTGTGTGGGCGCTTGAGTGGCTAAGTCATGCGGACACATTTGGTATGGACCATTTTCAACTCTACGAAAACTGGGACAAAATTTCAATGAAAAAAAGTCATCGAAAACCAAATCCTACAAAAACTGGGGAATACAAAAACCAAGGTTCCACTATAATTTTAAATTAAAGTACAGTAGAACCCCAAGTTTCAGCTGCCCTGAGTATTGGCCGCTTTAAGATTCGACCGCTTTTTTCTGCCAAATTTTATCCCGAGTTTAGCCGTTGCCCCGGGTTTCAGCTGGCCTACCAGACCTGTCCGCTTGCCCATGCTTGCATGCCTCCCCGCGCAGGTATTGTGAGCCAGTCTAGCGCTGTTTATCCTTGAATTAACATTACCCTGCATGCTCATCCTGCCAGTCAACCAGCCAAGTAACCAGGCAGCCAGGCATCCAGGTATCCAGGCAGCCAGGCATCCAGGCATCCAGGCAGCCAGGCAACAAGCCAGCCAGGCAACCAGACAGCCAGGCAACCAGCCATCTAGCCAGCCAGGCAGCCATCCAGGTAACCAGCCAGCCAGGTAACCAGCCAGCCAGGCATCCAGCCAGCCAGGCAACCAGCCAGACAGGCATCCAGCCAGACAGGCATCCAGCCAGCCAGGCAACCAGCCAGACAGGCATCCAGTCAGCCAGGCAATGAGCCAGCCAGGCAGCCAGTCAGTCAGGGAACCAGCCAGCCATCCAGCTAGCCAGGCAGCCAGTCAACCAGGCAGCCAGCTAGCCAGGCAACCAGCCAGCCAGGCAGCCAGCTAGGCAGGCAACCAGGCAGCCAAACATTTCACAATAAATTCCCTATCTTCCAGATGCCAACAAGTCTCTTCAATAAAGGTAAGCAAATGTTATTTGAAATGTTTATTGAAATTTTAATTTATCTATTGTACTACTAATTTAAGTATACTATATGTATTTATCTGTGTTGTGTGTATGTAAAACTATAGTTATTCTTTAAAAAATGTATTTTTTGTGAATATTTTTGTGGATCTGGAACAGCTTAATTGAATTTACATTATTTCTTAGGGGAGATAATGCTTTGCCTTTCGGCTGTTTCGAGTTTAGGCCTAGCTCCTGGAACGGATTACGGCCGAAACTCGGGGTTCCACTGTACTATACTGTACAGGAAATACTATACAGTTCTATACTGTACATATTTTTTTGGAATTTATATAAGCACCAATATAACAGTCAGGCAGAATAAAACTTACTTATTAACAAGATCCTGCAGTTTCTGTGTAGGTTCAGGATCATCATCTTTTCCACACTTCAAAACTTTACGCGCATCATAAACACGAATCACGCGATCTGCCGAGTTTACTAGAAAGAACCTGTCAAAGGATTGATGTTCTGTACATACATATAACAGAAATTAATGAATAATGTGTTGAATCATAAACACTACAGCTTCCAACCACTTACTACCTACCATACGTTTGCTGCGTCCACCCCATATCTTATGCATATCCACCTCCTTGGATCAAACCTGAATGCTTCCCATTCATCACATGTTGTATGACCCCCTACAGGTTTAGCATTTTTCCATGAAAATATTTTGTGCCATTATACCACCTAGTGAATTAGGAGTAAAAAAAATTAAATATTATTTAATGAAAAATCGATCAACTTACTCTGTTCTCCTTGCAAACTCGATGCTCTTCACAGCTGCTGCACTAGTAGTTCCTTGACCAATTCGAAATGTGGCTTTTATTTTCAAATCTGGACATGACAGAATTAACAGCTTTCCACGACTATTGCCAGTAAATATGTGCTCCCCTCGGCGATCAAAAGATGCTACAATATTTACATCTCCCTGGAATAACATCAATGAAAATACTGTAGTAAATTAAATTATTCCTAATATTTATGTGTCATTAACATTTGTTCAGGTTATCTTTTAGTCAAAAGAATTTAGAATATTTTAAATACCTTAAATAGAGTAACAAAGATCTTGGAATCAACTTTTCATAATTTTGAAATCAATTATAAGGGGACTGCATGCAGTTTTTGAAGGGGATGCACATCTAGACATGACCATTAATGCTAAATCCTTGAATAATGCATCACTACAGAGATACTATTCCAAAAATGCTTGTATAGTTGGTACCTATTCCTAGAGGCCCTGTGAATTCAGAGTCCATGATCGATCTAAAATTCTGTCTCCAAGTCCAAGCATAACTTCCCTACTGCAGCTCGTATACCAAAGAGTGAATGATGCGATACTACACCAACGACACTTTTCACCATATTTTGGATAAGTTTAATAAATGTTAAATGTTAAATAGACTACATCAATGCAGACTGCATCTACGATATCATGGAATTAATGAGGTGAGAGCTAACCATAACTTATGCTAGAAATTGTGGCCATTGGTAGTGAAAGAGTTTAATTGCTTCCACAACACTGATAGGGATCTGAGGATGGTGTAGCAACAAGGATAAGGTTTCAAGGATATGGAAGAAGCAGAGGGAGGCTGATAAAATGACTGCATCCTTAAGTAAAATTCAGTTTCACAATAAATGCATAGTAACATACAGCTTTACAATATGTGCAAGGCTAAATACAGTTTTCAATAAGTATATAGTAGACTTCATTTTTAAAATAAGAGCATGGTAAACTACCATTTTACAATAAGATGAGCTGATGAATGAAAATACTTTTTTTTTTTTCCAACAACAGGCCGTATCCCACCAAGGCAGGGTGGCCCAAAAAGAAAAACAAAAATTTCTCTTTTTAAATTTAGTAATTTATACAGGAAAAGGGGTTACTAGCCCCTTGCTCCCAGCATTTTAGTCGCCTCTTACAACATGCATGGCTTAAGGAGGAAGAATTTTGTTCCACTTCCCCATGGAGATAAGAGGAAATAAACAAGAACAAGAACTAGGAAGAAAATAGAAGAAAACCCAGAGGGGTGTGTGTATATATGCTTGTAAATGTATGTGCAGTGTGACCTAAGTGTAAGAAGAAGTAGCAAGACGTACCTGAAATCTTGCATGCTTATGAAACAGACAAAAGATACCAGCAATCCTACCATCATGTAAAACAATTACAGGCTTTCGTTTTACGCTCACTTGGCAGGACGAATGAAAATACTTACTGACATAATAAAGTCAACCCAACACCATAACCACCACTACAAGCACCACAAGAGCCATCATTTCAGTGTAGCAGTCCCAATATGATCCTCCAAGGAAATCACCCCTCAAACTTTCTCTTCAGCACTGACATCATAGACATTAAATACAGTATAACTGATGTACGTATGTGATTCTCAACCATTGTACAGTATTTCATGTAACAATGACACAGTGGTATTTGCAGATTTGGCATTCACAGTAACTTCTTGGTAAGTAACCCGTAATTACAGTATCTGTAAAGTATCTTAAACATGAATCTTCTTTACCTCATCATCCATAGGAATAATTTCATGTGAAGCATCTACATTAACCAAGACAGCAGGATGTCTCATTGGGCATACCAAGAACATTTTGTCATTTCTAGGGTGAAATTGAACCTGAAAATATAACAGATTATAAACAATATATTAAGAATACAAAATCCCTTATGTAAGTTCCTGTGGTTAAGTTTCTTCAACTTCCTATAATAAAAAAAAGATGTTTAAACACATAAAGATCCTGTTGCTACATCTTTCAACAATTATCAAGTTGTTTCAATTTCCTGTGATGATGCAGTTGCCACATCATTAACATAATTTTTCTCATCTAGAAAGATGATTCCTATATCTTCTATTATCACAAATGTAGATATATCATTAAAAGTAACATTTTGGAAAGCAATGCCATTTTTGTTAAGATTCATTTTTTATTTCAAAGTTTTAAATAAAAATTTGTACTGGATTATGTGGATTCTTGGAACTGCCATAGCAGTACAGTCAGCAGTCTAAACTGTCTGTTATTTAGGTGAAGCACTGTATATCTATGCAATTAGCTGTGTCAAGAATTTGAGGTGGTGAATGGAATTAGAATGCTAAAACTTTCAGAGCATAAAATCAATATACATTATCACTTATACATACACTGCAACATGATATGGTATATGCCACATAAATTCTATATTCTTGAAATATAAAAAAAAAAAGACAAGTAACTGATAAACACCAACCTTCATAACAGGCGAAGGAAACCTATATTTAATGTCACATTCTCCCGAGAGCACATCCCAGATGCACACATTATTGTCTGTGGAGACACTTACAAGCTTGTATCCAGCTCGAGACCAACTGATGAAAAAAAACATTAATTATTACACTATCAAGAACTGAACTGCATCAAAAAAGTAATTCATATGGTACACTAGAATATTATTATTATAATACTGATAAAGAAGCACTGAAATCACAGAGCTTATAGCACTTGGGGAATGTGAGGTATTGTAATCACGGTTGATCTGAGGAAAGAAAGAGTAACTCAAATTCTTTGAATAAAGTGCCCTTCATCAGTATCAAAGAACCTTTTATTGAATAGTCCATTGGAGTAAAGGCCAAAGTATAGGCTGCAGAAAAAATGCAACACTGCTTATAATTTAAAATAAAACCTTTTGTGATACTGCAGTTATATAAATCATGAATATTACTGTAATATAAAATACATAAGTCAGTCTTGGTGTTTAGTATCCTTTTACAAAACATAAAGGAAACTAACCTGAGAGAACACACTGGGTGTACATGAGCACTTATAATCTTGGCAATGCCACGTGTCAGAAAATCCCAAATAACTATACGTCCATCATTACATCCCACAGCCAAGAGAGTTCCTCGTCTGTTAAATGCACAGGTCACAGCTAGCGATGCACAGTCCAGGGCTCCATCAAATTCCTCAGGGTAATTCTGCCCAAATGATTCTGAAAATATAAATATGTTAGGAAATCAATATGAGGCTTTGCTTATATAAAATCAAGCACCTAAATTATTGGGAATTATTAAAATAAATTAAACTGTACTCTCTGGAAAGCAAGCAGGACAGACACATCATAATTTTAATTATTAATATCAACGCCGATTCCACCAGGCAGGTGGCCGAAAAGAAAACTTTACATCACTCCTCCTCACTGTTTCCCAGAAGGGTGCTTTAACTACATTTTTAAACTGCAACATTACACCCTCCTTCAGAGTGCAGGCACTGTACTTCCATCTCCAGGACTCAAGTCGCATGCGTTTCCTGAATCCTCATAAATGTTATTTGCTCACACTCCAACAGCACGTCAAGTATTGAAAACCTTTGTCTCCTTCACTCCTATCAAACACGCTACGATGCTGGAAGTCAACCCTCGCACACAAAACCTCCTTTACCCCTCCCTCCAACCCTTCCTAGGCCGACCCTACCCCGCCTTCCTTCATCAGACTGATACACTCTTGAAGTCATTTAGTTTCGATCCATTCTCTTACATGTCCAAACCCACCTCAACAACCTTTCTCAGCCCTCTGGACAACAGTTTTGGTAATCCCGCACCTCCTCCTAACTTCCAAACTACGAATTCTCTGCATTATATTCACACCACACATTGCCCTCAGACATGACATCTCCACTGCCTCCAGCTTCTCCTCGCTAACATCATCACCCACGCTTACACCATATAAGAGCGTTGGAAACTATACTCTCAATACATTCCCCTCTTCCCTCCAGGACAAAGTTCTTTGTCTCCACAGACTCCTAAGTGCACCACTCACTCTTTTTCCCTCATCAGGGAAGGAGTTTATTCCAAACCTGTATTGTGAAATTATTCTACGAAAGCAAGACATTTGGCAGACTGTGACTATTATTATTATTATTATTATTATTATTACAATCTAGGGAAACACTAAACGAATACAGGTCATAGAGTGCACAGGAAATGGGAGGCAATCATGTTCAATCCAAAGAATGGAGAACAGGTCTACTGCTTTATATAAAGAGCCCCCCCTCACCTGCATCAAGTTACCTCCCTTGAGGAGCAGGCAGTGATGCAAAATAACCAGAAATAAGCTTATTTAGTATTATCCTGCAAAAATCTAAAGATCAAAACAGCTCAAGCAATTTTTTGTGCATATTTTACTAGAAAATAAACTCTACTGTATAATAAAACTTGAACCCTTAATTTAGCATACTAATAGGGGCAGAGGGTGCCTGGTAATGCTAACTGTCCATTAAATCTGAATGATAAGGTTATTTTTCCATAATCGCAATACAGGACAATTCTGGAATATCTGACTTTATCAATTAAATCTGAAATTAATTTTGTCCCTTAAATCTAAAATCAATTTACCCAGCAGATCTTAACCATAACCCACAATTCCTGAAATAATGGACTTTGTTAAACCCAAAATCAATTTACCTAGTGGACTGTAACAATAATGAATGACTCTGGAAACAATGGCTTTGTTGGACAAGGGGTTTTACTCATCAAATCTGAAACCTGTTAAATCAAGGTTCATTAAGTTGAGATTTTACCACATTGTATTGCTGATGCAACTCACTCATTCCTAACCTCTACAGTGCTTCTTATAATTATTATTATAGTCACAAAACTATGCCAAATTCGTGGCCATGCTGCTTAATATTAAAATTTTTGGGGATCACACTATACTATACATTTGTATAGTGCCTGCGATACTTGGAGTATACCTGGAGAAGGTTCCGGGGGTCAACGTCCCCGCAGCCCGGTCTGTGACCAGGCCTCATGGTGGATCAGGGCCTGATCAACCAAGCTGTTACTGTTGGCCTCACGTAAACCGACGTACGAACCACAGCACAGCTGGTCAGGTACATTTTGCATTACATTATTATTATGGTATTACATTCGTGGGAAGTGCTAAACTATTTATATAATAATACAGCTTCTTCTCACTTAGCGACATACTTGTTTACCGATGACTCGAACTTATGACGGGCTCTCTGACCAGTATGCATACCCAAATATATATATATTAGAGCTGATTTCCTCTATTCTGTTTATTACAATATACAGTACACTACTGCATAAACATTTAAAAGCATACTAAAAATGTTATAAATAGTGCAGAGGTGACATTAAAACAATATTAAAGATGGCTGACATAACATCATTAAGTGAGGAGAGGCTGTACTTGTCTGACACAGCAATATCTTGAAATCTTGATATAGAAATTTCTTCAACACTTGCCTAACCTATTGGCATAACTTACTTCCACTACTGGATTTTCTCTATCAGTGACAATGCCTCCAACTGCTTTGCCTCACCTGTCTCCATTATATATTTAAGCCCTTTCTCTGTACATGTGCTGTGCTATTATCAAGACTCATAGACTGAATACATCATCTCCAGTCTGAGGGACTGATTACCTCGAACTCCTCATTTTCCACCATTTTTCTCTATACCGGACTGATGAAGTCAATGGTTGGCAAAATGTTTCCACAATAGATACTCAAGTGTTGCACAAGTGTTTTATTAACCATAAAAAACGTCTTTTCCGAAAGGTACTAGTTATACATATCTAGATTATTAAGTGCACTTAATACTAGAGAATTTACATAAAAAACATACCCAGCAGAAAAGTACATATTGTGCCATAATGGAAGGTAATCAGGTTCAATCCGAGGAAGAGGACAGGTCTAATTTCTTGGTTCAACTTCCTTTAGTAAGTTTATTTAGGTACAACTTATATAAGTGCAATTACACAAGTTTAGTGTTGTCTTACATATTGGCATCATTGCATTTCCCTTGAAGGGGATAAATTTTGAAGTTGCAACCTATTATTATTGTTGTTATTAAAAAACAATCACTAAACCTGTATGAGTCAGTGAAATTTAACCCAAGATAACTAAACAACCAGTGACATCTATATTGTGGTCTATATTAGTAAGTTTATTTAGGCACAGATACACATGAGTACAATTATCATACATAGCATAAATTACTTAGGACCCCAATAGAAACAAATCTTCTTCTTTCTTCTTTGTTGGGTTTATGAGGGCCACTGACAGCATAAGCTGTATCGAGCCCAGTTTCTCGATGGTACGAGTAAAAATTGTTGTCCAAGGCTGGGCACTGAGAGAAAAGGAACAAAAGTCCCTTTGTAAATAGAGATAGAAACTTGAAGTTTCCAATTAGATCCAGTGGACCCCCTTGCCAAGCCCCAGCAGAGAGGGATGCCCACACTCCCACCTGAGTTCAGTATCCGGCTTCCCACCAAAGACTGATAAAGAATTTTCTGCGGAGCGGAAAATATGGAGCTGGCTAAAAGCCAATGAACAGGTGCCCCTCCTGCAGAGTGCCCGGCGGGCAAAATAGATGAGGACAAGTGTCCCAGAGAGAACAGTGGAAATTTGTCATCGATACTCAGGCAAGAGAGAGACGTCCACACCTGATGAAGGCTGGCACAGGGTTAATGGAAATAAATCACTTTATCTGGCTTATTTGGGGGGCACTTGGCCTGGTAGGCAACACAATTGCTTCACAAGCTGAGTGTCCATGGTTCGATCCCCGGCAAGGGTGAAAACACTGGGCGTATTTCCTTACACCTGTTGTCCCGTTCACCTAACAAGTAGGTACCTGGGTGTTAGCTGACTAGCGTGGATTGCATCCTGGGTGGAAAAGATTTAAGGACCCCAATGAAAATAAGACTGATAGTCCCTCGATGACACAATGACTTTCTTGGGTTATCCTGGGTGGCTAACCGTCCGGGGTTAAAAATCCAAACAAAATCTTATCCCTTAACCAAAAAAAAGTCAAAGTAACTTATTCCAGGATTATGCTAGGTAATTTACACTATGTAGGATAACTGTACTTACATGTACCTGTGCCGTAATAAACTTACCAAACCAAAAAAAAAGTAGTGCAAAGTAACTTATTTCCACTGGATCTTTTATGCTAAACAATATTTTATTACACGTAAACTACATTTTGTAAACCGCGGAAACAAAAGCTGTTTGTTTTTTGTCTAAGATAAATATTTGGCTTACAGGTCGTCAATGTAACATTTTGAAATGCTATTCGCTGGCCTAAGATTATAAAAAGAATATATAAGCATAACAAAGTGATATTTACCCAGTAGTTCTAGATTCATATTTACGTTCCTCTGCTGTGTCGATGATGGCGGTGGAGAGTTTTTCCTGAGTGACACAAGGAGACTCTGGAACTCGGTTTAACTTCACAATCAAAGGCTGGATGTAAACTCTGGTTTCCATTGAAAGCTAGTCAAAGGAAGGATTTAAACTCTGGTTTCCCTTGAAAGTAAGTCAAAGGATAAATATAAACTCAGGTTTCCCTTGAAAGCGAGTTAAAGGATGAATGTAAACTCTGGTTTCCCTTGAAAGTGAGTCAAAGGAAGGATGTAAACTCTGGTTTCCCTTGAAAGCGAGTCAAAGGAAGGATGTAAACTCTGGTTTCCCTTGAAAGCGAGTCAAAGGATGGATGTAAATTCTGATTTCCCTTGAAAGCGAGTCAAAGGAAGGATGTAAACTCTGGTTTCCCTTGAAAGGTAGTCAAAGGATTGATGTAAACTCTGGTTTCCATTGAAAGCGAGTTAAAGGATGGATGTAAACTCTGGTTTCTCTTCAAGGCGAGTTAAAAGATTGGATGTAAACTTTCGTTTCCCTTCGAAGTGAATCAAAGAACGGAAACAAGAACAAGAACAATAACAAAAACAAGATTATTATTATAATCAAGGGGGAAGCGCTAAACCCGGAGGGTTATACAGCGCCTGGGGGAGGGATGTGGAAGGCATTCAGGCTTAATTCGGGGAACTGGAGCACAGATCCAATTCCCTAAATCAAGAGCCCCTCACCAACATCAAGGAACCTTCCTTGAGGGGAACAAAAACAAGAACAAGAACAACAATAAAAATAAAATAAAAGATGAATAGGTTAATGCACCAGGCTAAATTTTTACAAGACACTGTGGTATAAACCTTGGTAATAAATACCGACAAGTTGGTTTAGAAAGACACGTAAGCAAACACTATAACATATTTATTATGTTATTGCCTCCGGATGCAACTTCCCAGCAATTCCAGGAACAGCTGTTAAAAATTGACCACTGTCTGGAAAATCTTCCAGCTCCTGCACCCAACATCTTGCTCCTGGGGGATTTCAACTTAAGGCACCTAAAATGGAGGAATATAGCAAATAATATTGTTGCAGAAATAACACCAGGAGGCAGCTCTGATGAAAACTCACACTCACACGAGCTTTTAAATCTCTGCACAAAATTCAATTTAAACCAGCAAATAATAGAGCCTACTAGACTGGAGAATACACTAGACCTCATATTCACTAACAATGATGATCTGATAAGAAATGTCACCATATCAAAAACAATATACTCAGATCACAACATAATTGAGGTTCAGACATGTATGCGTGGAGCCCCAGACCGACAAAATGAGACTAGTCACGAGGGAGCATTCACCAAATTCAACTTCAATAACAAAAACATAAAGTGGGACCAAGTAAACCAAGTCCTAACCGATATAAGCGGGGAAGATATACTAAGCAACACAGACCCAAACTTATGCCTAAACAGATTAACTCGGTGGCACTCGATGTATGCACAAGGCTTATTCCTCTAAGAAAAAGGAGGAGTAGATGTAAAATAGAAAGAGACAGGCGCTCCCTTTACAGGCGACGGAAAAGAATAACAGAGCGGCTAAAAGAGGTCAATATATCTGAAATGCGCAGGGAGACACTGGTCAGAGAAATAGCAAGCATCGAACTTAAGCTAAAAGAATCCTTTAGGAGTCAGGAATCGCGGGAAGAACTAAAAGCATAAATGAAATCGAAAGAAACCCAAAGTATTTCTTCTCCTATGCCAAATCAAAATCGAGAACAACGTCCAGTATTGGGCCCCTACTTAAACAAGATGGGTCCTACACAGATGACAGCAAGGAAATGAGTGAGCTACTCAAGTCCCAATATGACTCAGTTTTAGCAAGCCGCTAACCAGACTGAGAGTCGAAGATCAAAATGAATTTTTATGAGAGAGCCACAAAATTTGATTAACACAAGCCTATCCGATGTTATCCTGACGCCAAATGACTTCGAACAGGCGATAAATGACATGCCCATGCACTCTGCCCCCAGGGCCAGACTCATGAACTCTGTGTTCATCAAAAAACTGCAAGAAGCCCCTATCACGAGCCTTTTCCATCTATGGAGAGGGAGCATGGACACGGGGGTCGTCCCACAGTTACTAAAAACAACAGACATAGCCCCACTCCACAAAGGGGGCAGTAAAGCAACAGCAAAGAACTACAGCCCAATAGCACTAACATCCCATATCATAAAAATCTTTGAAAGGGTCCTAAGAAGCAAGATCACCACGCATCTAGAAACCCATCAGTTACACAACCCAGGGCAACATGGGTTTAGAACAGGTCGCTCCTGTCTGTCTCAACTATTGGACCACTTACGACAAGGTCCTAAATGCACTAGAAGACAAAAAGAATGCAGATGTAATATATACAGACTTTGCAAAAGCCTTCGACAAGTGTGACCATGGCGTAATAGCGCACAAAAATGCGTGCTAAAGGAATAACAGGAAAAGTCGGTCGATGGATCTATAATTTCCTCACTAACAGAACACAGAGAGTAGTCGTCAACAGAGTAAAGTCCGAGGCAGCTACGGTGAAAAGCTCTGTTCCCCAAGGCACAGTACTCGCTCCCATCTTGTTCCTCATCCTTATATCCGACATAGACAAGGATGTCAGCCACAGCACCGTGTCTTCCTTTGCAGATGACACCCGAATCTGCATGACAGTGTCTTCCATTGCAGACACTGCAAAGCTCCAGGCAGACATCAACCAAATCTTTCAGTGGGCTGCAGAAAACAATATGAAGTTCAACGATGAGAAATTTCAATTACTCAGATATGGTAAACATGAGGAAATTAAATCGTCATCAGAGTACAAAACAAATTCTGGCCACAAAATAGAGCGAAACACCAACGTCAAAGACCTGGGAGTGATCATGTCGGAGGATCTCACCTTCAAGACCATAACATTGTATCAATCGCATCTGCTAGAAAAAATGACAGGATGGATAATGAGAACCTTCAAAACTAGGGAGGCCAAGCCCATGATGACACTCTTCAGGTCACTTGTTCTATCTAGGCTGGAATATTGCTGCACACTAACAGCACCTTTCAAGGCAGGTGAAATTGCCCGACCTAGAAAATGTACAGAGAACTTTCACGGCACGCATAACGGAGATAAAACACCTCAATTATTGGGGAGCGCTTGAGGTTCCTAAACCTGTATTCCCTGGAACGCAGGAGGGAGAGATACATGATTTTTACACCTGGAAAATCCTAGAGGGACTAGTACCGAACTTGCACACAAAAATCACTCATTACGAAAGCAAAAGACTTGGCAGACGATGCACCATCCCCCCAATAAAAAGCAGGGGTGTCACTAGCACGTTAAGAGACCATACAATAAGTGTCAGGGGCCCGAGACTGTTCAACTGCCTCCCAGCACACATAAGGGGGATTACCAACAGACCCCTGGCAGTCTTCAAGCTGGCACTGGACAAGCACCTAAAGTCAGTTCCGGATCAGCCGGGCTGTAGCTCGTATGTTGGTTTGCGTGCAGCCAGCAGCAACAGCCTGGTTGATCAGGCTGTGATCCACCAGGAGGCCTGGTCTCAGACCGGGCCGCGGGGGCGTTGACCCCCGGAACTCTCTCCAGGTAAACTCCAGGTTACGTGTCTTTCTAAACCAACAAGACACTGTAAACATGCGTAACGACTCATAATACGTACACGTAAAATTTTATGTTTTTTAGAAATAAATAATACAATTAAATAATTAAAAATTTGGCGGCATGCATATGTCTCCTGATAATGCCAAGGAAAAAGTTTCATCTTTTACCAAAATAACAAGCCACTGGAAGCTACAAGCCTAAAACCTAAAACATACCATGATACGAACCTAACAATTATCTCTCCTTCGATTAACAAGTTTATTATCTAAGATTTTACATGGTCATACAATCAGTGAATAATTACTTGAGGAGGTTGGTTTACGTTTTCAATATGATCTAGAATAAAAGGACTGTCGATATTAAAACAATTTTTTTTATCTAAAATTGTTCATTTTAAAGTATAAAATTATGTATGGGGGGCTTAAATAAATGAAAATTTACATATTTTACGGGTCATGAAGATATTTGGGCATTAGATAGTCTGATAACTTTAGGCTAAAACTCTCACTTCACATACGGAGGGCCCGGGTTCGATTCCCGGCGGGTGGAAACATTTCGACGCGTTTCCTTACACCTGTTGTCCTGTTCATGTTCACCTAGCAGCAAATAGGTACCTTGCTGTTAGTCGACTGGTGTGGGTCGCATCCTGGGGGACTAGACTGAGTACCCCAATGGAAATAAGTTAGACAGTCCTCTATGACGCGCTGACTTTCTTGGGTTATTCTGGGTGGCTAACCCTCCGGGGTTAAAAATTCGAACGAAATCTTATCTTATCTCTTATTCAAATTCAAATTCAAATTCAAAGTTTATTCTCTATAAGGATTACAATGCTGAGTTTACAGAAATTTGGTTATTGTTTGGTTTACATGTAGTAAAATTGTGATTACAGAGTGTACCACTAGAACGCTTAGCATGGCTAGGCATTTCGGGCATACTTAGTTTTATTCTTAATTGTAAAATATTACAAATTATGAGGTAAGTTGGTATTATGGCTAAGTGACTAAATACTAGTTTGTGAGTTTAGCAATGTGAATGCTTTTGTTTTGGCACAGTACATAGTTTCAGTATTGGAGTATCACAGGATTCATTATTTTAAGACTGAGATTAATATTTCCGTTTATGGTCAAATGAGTGAGTGAGTGTAAGTGTGAACCACCAGTTGGTATTCTTGTAGTTAGTTGACGGGGTGTATCAGGGAGATAAGATGTTTTCTAATGGTAGTTTGAAGGTGATGATGTGTCTGCAGTTCTAGAGTTCTCAGGTAGGGTATTCCAGATTTTGGGGCCTTTGACATACATTGAATTTTTGTAAAGGTTTAGTCGGACACGGGGAATGTCGTAGAAAATGTTTGTGTCTGGTGTTATGCCTGTGGGTTCTGTCACAACTATCAAGAAAGCGTTTTAGGTCAAGGTTGATATTAGAGTTTAAGGCCCTGTAGATATAGATTGCACAGTAGTAAGTGTGGATGTACTGAACTGGGAAGCAAGTTAGATCTATGAAGAGTG